GCGTTGACAAAAGTGGAAAGTCATAAAATTTTATTGTCACTCTATGCGCCGCTGAATTGCAGTTGCAGCAGCAAGAAGTTGTAAAACACTTAAGCTAGCGTTAATAAACAAAATCGTGCATAACTATATGCATATATGAGAACTGAACCATCTACCAGCTACCCAGTACGTCTGTCCGTTCGCACAAACATACTCGTATCTTTAAGATACTACACATGTTTGCCATGCGAGTTTATTAACATTTTAGCTTTTGGCATTTAAGTTTACTTGCTTGCAAATATGCAAGCAGTTAGTCACGTTAACAATCTCAAATCGCTAGTCAACAGATATTATGACTAGTATCTTGTATTTAGTAGCATAAGTTGGCTTTGGTTTCCAATGAACACATTAAATAAATTTTTAATAAAAAATATGATGACTTCACTTTAATGTACACTTTTTATTAATAGTAAAAATAATTCATGTGATGTTGTTTTTTTTTGTTTTTTTTGAATTTAATTGAAGCTATAAAATTATTTAACATGTTCGATTAGATAGTTTATTCTATATGCATTTACAATGAAAATATACATATTCTGCATATTAGAATGCCAGTGTCAAGGACTGTGATATGGAAACTATAATATAAAGTAATACTTTAGATTACTTCTCCCATTGAATGTAAAATTATGTGGTTCTCATAATATTGCCTTAACTAATACGCTGGTCTTAATAATAGAAATAATAGTGAATAATATAATAAGAATTAAAATTGAAATTATAATTCTATTGTATATTTAATTTAATTAAAAATAGAATTTAATTGAATATTTAATTAAATTGCAAATATAATTGAGTTTGATTATTATTTATTTATTTATTGCTAGATCTTTGTATTTATGAACTACAAAGTACAACTAAGGACACAGCATTACTAACAATGTCCTCAAGACCCATATTTATTAGAAACACATTTATTATATGTTTTATATAAAAGCAATTTTTATCAAAAATATATTTTAAATATTAAAAACTTCTTGACTTTTATACTGAATACCACAAAAAAAAAAACAAATTATGTGATATAATATGAAAAATACTTTATCTCTCCAACTATGTATAAATATATATTTTAAGCTTGTAAATATCTTAAAGTAATATAATATAAATGTTTAGTAGGCAAAAAAAAATTACTACAATGAGAATTTCTTGCGTCAACCTAAGACCCCGGAATTTGTTACTCAATTCTCACATGACTTCATTTTGCTTATCTATAGGAATTTTAATATGTTTCCTTTTAAAAATAGTTCTGCCTTTTTGTTGTTAAATTGTAAATGATATATAAGATATTTTATGTTATTAATTTTTTTTTCGTTATGCACAATTTTTGTTCTAATTTTATAATTAATTTGACACCAATGATTTTTCGTTGACTACAAATAATTTACATTTGTAAGCTGTGCCCGTGGCTTAGTTATGTGATATTTTGCTGATTAAATTTATTTTTATATTTTTTTTTAATTATTTGTTATCTTATAATTTTTTCTATATATTATGTATCATTCGAAAATAAAGCTTATTGTTTATATTAAAATAAAAACTGAAAATATATTTATAAAAAATACATTTATTTAATTTAATATATATAAATATTAAATAATTTATATTTAATACAAATTTATATATCAAGCATATATTTATTAGAAATAAATTTGTTTTTATAAAAAATAATTTTATAGTTTTAAAAAGTATATTTAAACTTAATAAAAATAAATTAATATTTATTAAAAATAAATGTACATTTATTAAGAATAATTTTATATTTTTTTAAAATAAATTTATATATAATAAAAATAAATTTATATACATTTTAATAAATAATCTTTTTATTGAAATATTTTTTATTTTATTTATTTTTTCATTTCATATATCTTTTTTTATGTATTTATTTTTTATATTTTTTACTTTTGGTTGATATTTAAAAATTTATAATTATAAACATTTATTTCAAATATATAATATAATACATTCTCCTCCGCTGTGATGTGCATGTTAAAGTTTTAATTCTGGATAGATAAAATTCCTTTAGTGAGCTACTTAGTCACTCTTACTAAATGTGATGTTTAAATTTAACACAAAAGATGTGTAGATTATTTTGACAAAATGAGATATTAAAATTAAAGATTTGCCATTAATAATACTTGTTCATTTTAAATGTTGAAATATTTCAAAGTTGTATTTTAGGTAATAAAAATCGGATGAATTGATTAAATGTCAAGATAATAATAAAATATATAAATTTATATATAGAACAGTTATAGTATTTATAACTCAATATTAATAAATATTCAAGACAAATGTATTGCCATCATACTTTTCTACATTAGATTATATTTAGGAGCATTAGTAAACCAAAATGCTCCTAAATAATGACAAATGAATGTTATGGACAATATCATTATTAGTAAGACAAGTAATAATTTTTTGTTATTAAAAGCAGTAGTAATACTAAAAAGTTTATATGCAATCATAGCTGAATTTATGAAGTATAAAGTATATAAAGTTTATAAATGCAATTAAAGAAGAAAATACATTCATTACTTGTTTTGGAAAGTATATAAAGTAGTATAAAATTAGAAATACTTTCAATGTTACCAAATGTCAACTTTAAACTATAAATTATTTATACTACAATTAATTCGACAGTTGCAGATATCAGCTATAAGAAACAATTCACATAATGTTATAAATATTAGTGGATATAAATTTTCCACTATAACTATGAGTATCGTAATTCATGGATAAGTTCTTCCCGGTTGAGAACTGTCTCTACTCTTCAATACACCATAAATTTACTCATAAATTAATATTGCAACACAAAACGTTAAAAAACAGATAAATAATATATTCATTTAAATTAAATAATTAATACTCATTTAATATCTATAGATTTAATGGGTTTCTCGTATAGATTCGACAAGATATCGATATTTTTATACCATTTTTAAGAATACACAACCAGTACTCTTAAAAGGCGCTAAAGACTAGTTATATCAAGGTTGGACTAGCTATGTATCTGACTTAGTTAGCTTTAGTATCTTATTGACTATCCTTACTTCTATCATATTTTTGTTTACTTGGATTATGTATCAAATACATACACACCATTTTTAGCTTTACTAGCAGCTAAATATATAACTAGTCATTAGTCTATTACTGCAAAGTATCTAGCTTAGCTGAATTTATAATCTCAATATTAAACCTCTATACTTTTTTTTACTTTTCATTTAGTTGACAAATTCACATGGATCATTTCTTCACATTTCTGTAAACAAGGTTTAGGTAGGTCTCGTATTATTGTTGCTTAACTTGCTATCTGTTTATCACAAAAAATAAAAAAAAATACTTCGAAACACTTAGAGACAACTTAGATCACTACTAGAAATGCTACATGTTGCTTGCAAATCTAAAAATAATTCATAAAGATTAATATATTACATCAAGGCATATATAGATCATAACCTAAAATGTTATATATTACTTGCACCTCTAAAAATAAATATTAAAAATAAAATAGTTACGTTAATGTGTTTTTAGAACCTTTAAAGTCACATGAAAAGTTAGAAATGATTAACAATTTTAAAAACTAAAAAACTAACTAATAATAAATTGAGTATGTAACATTTCATTTTTAAATGGTTTACTGATAAATTAAATAAGGCTGAAGTAGATCATTAGATTAAATAAGTAAGCCAATGCTCTTAAGAGTAAGAATACAGTTCATACTTCTGTAGAAAAATTATTGATTTAATTAAAATAATATGGGGACCAACGCATATTCTGGAAGCATTTTGTTCCAGTTATAGGAGTTATTAAATGCAACTTAAGTTTTAACTATAAAGCTATTAACATTATAATAATAGTTTTACCAATTGAAACTATTAAACATAATAATAATAATTTTACCAATTCAAACTATTAAATATAATAATAAGAAACTATTAAACATAATAATAATAGTCTTTTAACTTTTGAAACTATTAAATAAAATAAAAATAGTTTTAACTATTGAAACCATTAAACATAAAAATAACTGCTTTAATACTACAACAATGCTATTTAACAATACAATTAATTTTTTGATATTTAAATAACTCTAAAAAGCAGCTAGTTTTTGGATACAGCGAGCGCTTTATACTTTTTCCCCAAGTCTTTCACTTATTGCTTTACGATTTCAGTTACTATTTTGGTCGAATTTTTGTTTGCTTCGACGCAACCCCAGCAAAAACAGATGTTGACAACTACAACTCTAAGCAGATTTTACTAATTTCCAGTAAACACTTAATAAACAAGGACAACTCGTTGTTTGGTGACTTTTTAGGTATTTTCTTGATGCTTATGAGTAACTACTAGTTAAATTAATAGTTATTTTAAATAGATCAATTTCCGAAAATATGGTTTTGATTAGTTTTTAGGCATTCTTTTGTTGTTTATAAGTAACTACTAGTTAAATTTCGTCACTACTAATAGAATGAAATGAATTGATAGTTATTTTTTAATAGCTAAATTGCCACAAATTTGTCTATTATTGACTTGTGAGGTTGGCGTTTATGAATAAGACGATCACATGTTTTATAAATGCATTTGTGACACAGCAATCAATAAGTGAATTCCTTACTAATAAAGAGAATGACTTCATTTCATATAAAATTAAATAAACTTAATTAATTTCCAACTGTTTTTATATATTTAATATTCATTTAATTGTTCTTTGTTATTCTCAATTTATTTGACCGCAATTTTTAATCAAATAAATTTTATCTTCACACTTCGATTAACAGTGGTCACTTATTTTTTTTTTTTTGACTAGTCACTAAAATTGTAGTTTTCTATAGCTTCCGTAATTATAACAAAACACATTTCTATATTTTTTTTATATATATTTAATTATATATTTATGTGTGTAGAATATATTCTCTTCACGTGTATAGTAAATTAACCGAAACACAGACGCAACTTACCTTCTGATAGCAACTTTGGCGGCATCTGAAGAGATCTTTGGAGCCAACTGCCTGTGCATTAATAAATCCCAATAATGTTGTGGCAGTGAAGATCAGAAACAGCGCAGCATTCATTCTTTTAGACATTTTTGTTTATTAATTTTTATTTTAAATTAAAATAACAATTAAAATAAAATTTTAAACACAAATTATAGAAAAACACAAAATAATTTTATAAAAATAAAATTAATATTTTTTTAAACAATATTAAATTTATATATTCACACACACTTTGCGAATATATTGTATTTCTTGATTGATTGATGAATTATTTTTATATTTTTTGTTATGTTTAATTCAGCCAATTTTTCATTATTTTATGAGAACAAAACCACAAAATATCAAATAAAATTTAAATATTTGATTTATTTTATATTTTTTTGTTTATTTTATGAATTATTTGAGCACGTAAAACCCGTTGCCGGCGTCAGTTTGCTGCTGTTTTCAAATCAAATTCTACTTAAGAATACACAATATGTTTTGTTGCTTTATGTACGAGCGATTCGTTGCATACGAACGAAAAAAAAGTACGGCGAATACGTTTCTAGTTACTTTTTTGAAATTGAAAATGCTTTGACTACCGCTCACGACCAAATCAACCCAAGACAAATTCTATACTGAAGCAACTGGCGGCATCGACAAAACATTTAATAAAAACTACGAAAACCGAAAATAATGCTCGACAAACTAACGAACATAAAACGAATCAAACCGATTGTGTAGTGATGCACAATTGCGAAAAACACACACAGTGTATGTACGATGTGCTGCAAGTGTTGCTTAATATGTCAGTCAGTTGTATTGAAGAAGAATTTGTTTGGAAGCGTATTGTATGATGAGAATGTTTTGCAAACGTTCTGTTGTTGTTGTTATTGCTTTTGTTAGGCCAATGTTGCTGCTTATGTATCTTGGGAGCGAATCGAACTTGTAGCGTTTATAGTTGCTAGCATGGAATAAGAAAATACTCTGTGTCGCTTGTTGAGAGAAGCGATTACTGTTTGTAGTTGAATATGGTTTGGTTGTTGCATGAGAGCGACTGTTAGTAGTTGAATATGGTTTGCCGCTCTCATGGCAATTATTGTTTGTAGTGCAATATATATTGGTTGCAAGAGAGCGGCTGTTTTTGTTTGCAATTCAATATGTTTTGTTTGTATGAGAGTTCATGTTATCGCTTTCAGTTTGAAATAGTTTGATAGTCTGAGAGAGGCGCTTATTATTTGCAATTTAAAATGATTAAGTTTAATGTGAGCGGCTATTATCGTTTGCGGTTCAATATGTTTTGGTTGCATGAGAGAGAAAAGTATTGGTTTTTAGTTGAAAATGGCTTGATTGCATGAGAGTGGTTGTTGTTAGTTGTTATTTATTTCAAAATGGTTTGATTAGATGAGAGTGGTTATTGTTGGTTATTATTTAGAACAAAATGGTTTGATTGCATGAGAGCGGTTGTTATTTAGTTGGCAGTTTAAAATAGTCTAGTTGCATGAGATTGCTTATTAATGTTTAAACTTCCACATGGTTTGTTTGCATGAGTGCGACTATTATTGTTTTTAGTTTAATATGATTTGGTTGCAACTGAGTAGCGTTGAAATCTTTTAGTTGTATATTGGTTGGTAGTATGAGAGCGGATATTATTGTTTTCTACTTTAATACGTTCAGGAGAGTAGCTTCTGGGTTTTAAACAGAAAAACGTTTCCACTTATTGTTACATGTTGGATATGCTTTTCTTGCATGATAGCAATTGTGGTTTGAAGTTCATTGTTTCATAGGTGTATGATACAATTAGTTTGAGAGGAGCAATAAGTTTTCTGTTTAATATAAATTTAATTCTTGCTGTTTGTAGTTGTAAACTAATATGTATGAAAATAAATATTGAATTTAAAACAGTTGAAAACAGTTGATGTTTGAAGCAATAGAAACCACTCAAGATGACTATAGTTGTATGAGAAATAATTTTAATATGAAATTATAATAAAAGATTGTTTGTGGTTGCAAAGGGGAAGTTCGTTAAACAGACCAAACATTAGGTCTGATTGCTTATGTTTAAGCCAACAAAGCTTCTTGTTGTTAATGATATTATAGAGTAAGAAAAATTTTTGTTTATGTTTGAAGAAAAGACTTTAAAAGTTGCAATGGTTTTTCAGTATGGCAAAGTTTATTTGTTTTCTCTGTTAGAACTTCTAAGTTTGAAGTGCGAGTATTGTTTGCTGTAACTGATTAGTTGTAGGTCGCATGATATGTATTGTATTTTATGTTTATACACTGTAATAAATGATTATATGTAAAGGCTTTAGAGTCCTATTAAAGCCGAAAGTATTAATAGTAACCAGAAATTTACTCTATGTTCACGGGTCTGATATTATTTTTATTTAAATTATTCAAATAATGGAAAGGAAAACATTAGTTTGTTTTAGATTGAATCAAATTTATAACCACAAATTTACTTTAAGCCAGATTTTTTAATAAAATGTTATAACGACAATATTTTTTTCTTCGCCATTCAGTTTAGATATAATACGTTAATAATAATGAGACAACTGTAAACATATAGTCCTTCGATTCATTTCGTAAGGGGCAATTCTTACTCAACCCCACTTTAGATGCAGGCTTGAATTGAACGGTTTGTGTGCATATGATAAATTTAAAACTAAAACATTAAAATTGAAACTAAAACCTCTGAAAAGTAGCTGACCCATAGAGACATATATATTATATTTATGTGTATAAAAGTTTATTATTTAAAATCATTATTTATTAGAAGACGATTACTCCTATTTTATAACAAAGGGTAATAAATAATACGAAAATAACAAAATTTCAATTAAATTATTGGCTATCCGCATTATTTCGAGAATTGGGAATTATAATATATAATAATATTTAAAATATTTTTTTATTATTTTTTTAAATTATATTTCTTTAAACGTAATAATCTTAAAGTTGCATTCTAATTAATATAAAAAATTCGTATTTGAAATTTTATTTTATATTATATTTATGCTGAAGCTATTTGAGCCAATGCACTTGAGCACTTTTACTCTTTATTAACTCGAGGTATCTTCAAAACCCCTCTTTACGCTTAGACTGGATTATTGTTTATCACTTCATCAGACTAAGCAATAATTGACCTCACAATTTAATAAAACAATATATTTTTCAAACAAAAATTTTTGCTTAACCGTTCGTTACTTTTGTTGAAAAGTGAGTGTAAGTTTTTCATATTTTTCCTTAACCCTTACCTTCCAAACACTTTTCCCAAAAAGTCTTTTACAACATGTTGCATTTGTAACGCACATGCCGTAAATTAAGCACGTGTATTTTAAAAATACAGAAAACAAACAGAAAAAACACAATCGTTATTATTAACTACACGCAAGCGTTAGAAAATGTAAATAAAACAAGTTTTTTTTTGAAGTTTTTAGTCATGCGTTTTCATTCTGTAATACAACAAATGAAACCAATGAAGTTTACAAGTCAAACCAATTCGCAACTCATACAATTTAATTGAAAGTTGTAAGCAAGCTCGAACGCATTTTTCAGCAAAACACATAGCAAAATCAATTCGAAGTTGTATTTCTGTAGGGGAATTTTATATTCGAATGAGGAATGTTGTAAGAAATACCAAAACCGACAGTAACAACAGAAAATGTTTGAACGAACAAGTTGTAACGTACAACATGTTCGTTCGATTGTTAATATAACAATTATTTCACACAAACATTTTTATGATTTTAACTTCTTTGAAATTTTTGTTAGGAGCATCTTTTGTTTATGGTGTTTGAAGGTCATTTATACGCAGCAAAGCAACAAAAGCAAAGTATAAATGTTAGAATAAAGTTGCGTGCAGAGAAATTGTTGCGTTTGAATGTGAAGGATTTCAATTAAATGTGGCAGTGTAAGCAATATTGTTTGTAAAGATGTAAAGTGGTGTAGGCTTACATGGGTTAAAAGCGTGGAATTCCTTAAAAACCAACCACAAACTGAGGAACATTCACTGCAGTAACTTAGTTACTGCTGGAGAAGGGTTAACCTGAGATTATCCGCTAGAGACTTTGCACAGAATTTTAACATTTTTATCTACTTAAATGGAAATAGTGGAACGATCTTAATTTATGTGTCATATTTTAATGAAAATAATGTCTATAAATAGAATTAGCCTTAGCTTATTATTGTAAAGTTATGATTTGTGATATAAAAGATATTGTTTTAATATGAAAAATGTTTATAAAAATATATTTTAATGATTTTTTAAGCAAAACAGCGCTTTTATACACTTTACTACTACTACTGTATTCTCTTATTCCTAGTATATACAGTTATATTTCATTTTAAAGTTGAGTTGAGTGAAAAGAAGGATGCACAATGCAAAGCAGAAATTGTGTACAACACTCAAAACAACAAATTTGCAATAACAACAATGTTATCTTTTATAATATACGAGATTGATGTGTTTGAAAAAAAGTGATTGTGTAAATAAAGTTTTTCAATTCATTTTGGTTGAGGCTTTGGCGCCTATAGTCTCGCATGGCTAAGTGCATATGACTATAGATAGTTTGATGTACTCTATCTCAAGGGTTAATTAATTAATTAATTATTAGGTACAAAGCAAATAATTTCCATATATTTGAGAGCCTGAGCAGTATTTCATCAATAACTCACTTAGACTATTTCTTCCATTTGTGTTACTAATCACGATGTGAACTGATATGTGATACAGTATTAGTTTAGAAAAACCTAGATTGGTTAGCCTACTGATGGCAAATTTGATTGTGTAATGTTGGAAACTTCAGTTACGGCGATCTGCTTGGATTGGTAATAGGAAGTGCAATTTTGCTCAACAGTGGTTAAGAAGTCAGGTAGATCGATCAGCCAAGATTGGTAATAGGAGTACAATTTTGCTTAATAGTGGTTAAAAAGTCAGTTTGATCAATTGGTCTAGATCGGTGAAGTATGAAGCCATCTTAGTTAATAGCTAATGGTTGCAAATAGTGGTTAAGTTAAATTATTATTAATTATTAAATTATTAGTTCTATATATGTAGCATCAATATTAAGTGGTATCTGGATATCCATAGATATTGGTTCATAGTGATTACAAGTTCATGATAGCGGCACAAAAGATC